CTTGCAAACGGCATCGGCTAGAGCCTTTCCACCTTTTGATCCAAGTTTATTAGATTTAAGATTCAAAACCGTCAGCGTAGTGTTCTTGCAAACTGCATCAGCTAGAGCCTTCCCATCATTTGATCCAAGATTATTCCAAGAAAGATTTAAGGAAGTCAGTGTGGTATTTTTGCAAAGTGCATCTGCTATCACCTTTCCTACTCCTAATCCAAGATTGTTACATTCAAGATTCAAATACTTCAGAGTATTGTTAATACAAAGCGCATTTGCTAATGCTTTCCCACATTCTGGTCCAAGGCTATTGTAACCAATATCCAAAGAAGTTAGTGTGGTATTCTTGCAAAGCGCGCCTGCTAACGCTTTTCCTCCTTCTGATTCAATATAATTTAAAGACCAACTTTCAGAACTTCCGCCAAGATACAAAGAAGTTAGCGTGGTATTCTTGCAAAGTGCATCTGCGAATGCTTTCCCCCCCTCTGACCCAATACTATTATCACTAAGATTCAACAGAAGTCAGCGTAGTGTTCTTGCAAAGTGCATCTGCAAATGCTTTTCCTCCTTCTGACCGACCCAATATTATTACCACTAAGATTCAAAGAAGTCAACGTAGTGTTTTTGCAAAGTGAATCTGCTAACGTTATTCCTCCTTCTGCTCCAAGATTATTATAATTAATATCTAAAGAGATCAATGTAGTATTCTTACAAAGCACATATGCAAATGCTTTTCCTACTTCTGATTCGAAATTTTTAGAATGAAATTTCAAATATTTCAGTGTATTGTTCTTACAAAGTATCTTTACTAATTCATCTATTGCTATATATTTACCATCGTCATTGATATTATACGTGAGATATAAATCTAAAGAGGTAATAGTAGTGTTCTCATAAAGCTTTTCAAAATATAAATCGAATTTCAAGATATAAATATTTAAGATTCTTGCCAGTTCGTAGAAGCATTGCAGCTAAGGAATAGTTAATGGCACTTTCAAACTCATCTCTTTCATGATACCAATCATCAACTACATCATAAAGATGCCAATTTTTAACACCATCGAACAAATCTTTGGTAAAAGATATAATATAACTTGTATATTCAAATAGTGGTTTTGGGTGACTTGGAAGATCAATTTCAAAAGGAATTAATAGAGTTTGCTCATATGCATTTAACATTAAAACAAATGTTCTTATAAGTCTTCTATCTTTAAAATGGTGTCCTGGTTCATTCCACAAAATTGGTATAATTATTCTACACCATTGACTGTTTACAAGCGCACATGAAAATAAGTTTTTATAATTATTCCGAAGATTATTAAATATTTGATAATAGCATTCATTTGGTAATGATATCATATTGAAAAATTACAAAAAATTTAGTACCAGGTACGTATGTACGTACAGTACGTATTTATATCTTTAAAAAAAAGCTGTGAAACGTTGCTAAAAATCTAAATTTGGTAAGAATTACGCAATGATAACAGCTAATCTTGACCTTCCACGGACTGTGCCAGAGCATTGGTAAATTTGCAAAATTTCTAAATTAGAGTATTTCGAAATTTAAACAAATTCTAAAAAAAGAATTAAAATATGAAAGTTAGGTAATTTTGCTCTATATGTAATAAAATGCTTCAATAAATACAACAATTTGACAGAGTAAAGATGTATTGGGTTGCAGAATTAAGTGCTTTGCCTTTTGATTTTTGATTAGTGAAAAGCTTCACATTAATTGATATGACGTAGTCTGGAGCTTTAAGAACTCTAATTGCTCGAACCAAATCTTCCACGTTACGATTGAGCTTTCAATTACTAGGGCTTAGTTAATTTTTCTTTCAAATGGTGTTAGTTGTTTTTGTGACTTGTATGTTCTTACCCTGACCTCCTTCTAACCTAGAGCCAGTCTGCATTTTTAACACTCATAAAAACTAGGTTAGAAGAATATAAATGACCAGGTACACATGCATAATATTAAATTATTACTATAATTAAATCTTAAACTATTATGAAGAGTTGATTGCACATACAAAAATTTTATTATTAAATTTTTAGCAAATAACGGATTTGTTAATTATTGTCGCGGCTGATGATTGAAATTTTAATTATTTTAATATGAAATTTTCAAAAAATTTTGGGCCTTTTGTTAGGGGGTTTTTTTTAGGGTTAAATTAGGGTTTAGGAGTAGTTTTAATAATAAATGGATTTTGTTAGGGTTTATCTTTTTAAATTAAGGTCCCTAATTTTAATCATCAGCCGTTTCCAGCTCAGTATATACATGTGCAAGTAGTTCTTTTTTTTATAAATTTAAATGCACAAGCGCAATTAAGTAGGAAGCTTGCACAAAAATGATGTGCAGTAATGTATTAAAAAATTCTAATGCTGCAATAACATTAACTAGCAATCAGATAATGCAACGAAAAAAAATTTTTTTAGATCGCAATATTTCATGCAATTCTATGTCTATCTTTTCAAATTTTTTTATTTTACTTATGAATAGTATGCTTTTCACATATAGCAATTTTAGAAAGTATCAATAAGCCAAATATATCACGTGTATAAACTTATTTTAAATAGAAAGCTGCATTATTTTCTTATTTTAAACGCAGCAAAGATATCCCAGAAAAATAAAAAATTTTAAACTTCAAGCAAAGATATATCAACACCTACCTAGTCAATTTTAATAAATTTTTTTATTTGAATTCTAAAGGTTCGTAGAATTCAAATAAAAAAATTTTTGTCGAATTTGTTCACGTGGTCGTCGAGATATCTTCGACAAAGTCAAAGAAAAATCAAAACGTTTATCAAAATAGAAGCTGCGCCGAATCATTTTTAAATTTTGAGCGAATATATCTCGAGCACAATTTTTTTATTTGAATTCTACAATCTGTAGAATGAAATAGAAAATTTTCATCGAGTTTGATCAGGTGCATGTCGAGATATCTTCGCTCAAAGTTTTCAAAATGATTCGGTGAGCTTCTATTTTGTAAAGATATCCTTGCTTGAATTTTAATTTTTTTTATTTTTCTGGGGTGTGAATACCAAATTTGGGGTACGATTACCAGTCCCTTTATTATATATTTATAATTTTCTTGTACTTCCATTTACAAAAATGTAGCTATAATTTGATAATGATAATACCGTATAAACGCGAAATAACGCGCAGGGGTGTAATTTCAATTTTCGGCCTAAATTAAGCCTAATTCGGGCCAAATTCAAAATAACGCCCCTGTGCGTTATTTCGCGGTTATACGGTATAATCATAATAATAATGAAATAATACTAAAAATAAAATGCGATGACAAAATAAGTACGTACGTACGTAACAAATTTTTCGCGTAGCACCTTTCATAATATACTAACTATAGTTTTCGACAATTGCACTAAAAAAAAAATACTAACTAACGACCAATAGGGAAACAGCCACACCAGAGCCCTTCATAACGTACGTACGTGACAATAAATCAAATAAGTAATCAAACTATGTCAGGGTCTATAGAATTCGGTATATTGCAGATTTTTCATGTTACACGATGATTAATTTTCATTGGTATTATATACTATACGTATTTAATTAATATGCAGGAAAGTTATTTAATATTAAATGGTATATTCTAAACGATTCAACTTATAACCAAGACATCAAATTACCTTAAAATTTTTACAAGTTGTTTATAAAATAACTAGGAACAATACTACGTTTCAAGATTCTTTATTAATATGTAAGTTTAGGTATTTGTCTTATAGAATGTTTTAAATTTCGTTAATTGGCACGAAAAAACTTATCTTAATACTAAGTTCAAATTTTAATTAGAACTTTACGAAAAAATCAAACATAGTTACTTTGAAGTAATTCTGACGCAACTTTTTCAATTGAAAGAAATTAGAAAAATAAGCACAATATTTGTGTGAATCATTTAAAAGTTTGCGATTTTCTTTATAATTAAAATTATATAAAATCGTTCGATCGATCATTTTTAACTTACTACTGATAAAAATCTGATCTTGGTAAAATTACTAATATGCCTGACATAGTTTTGATTACTTATTTGATTTATCACCCCAGTACAGTACAGTACGTACGATCCATGTCGTAAATAGACCAGATTGGCATTGTCCCGATTCAGAATCGGGCCGCCCCAGATGAGAATTTTGTAAATTATTTTTGCAGAATTAGGATTTTAGGGGTTGGAGTTAGGGTTAGATTTAGGTTTAGAATATAAAAATTTTATTTTTGGTGGCATAATTTGAATAAAAATTACACTATTCCCATCCGGGACTGAATCCAATCCGGGATACAATATATATATATATATATATTTATATAGTAATAAATCCTTATTATGATAAACTAAAAACTATTTAAAAAAAGAACTTCATCCAGGTGAACTATGGTCATTGTCGCCCGATAATCTACTAAAACGATTAATACGCATGTTTATTGGCGACATTTCGGTCAATTCTTAAGTTTTATTCAGATTCGGGATCTTTTGGATTCGACCTGATTTTTCGGTTCGGGTCCGGATCTATGAAAAGCTCTCCTGACTACTCGGATTTTGGTTTACATAAAACTTCGATGTCACGAGCAATGCATACGTATAATGAGAAATTCTGTGGCTTTATCTACTTGACAGAACAGCTCATGTTGTTGCAGCTAAGGTTGGCCTCGAATAAGTCGATGATTGATGCACACCTAGCGTTAATATGGTGCCGAATTGGCCAAAACCGGTTAATAACGAGCGCACATTCTGAACCTAGCTTAAAATTTGGTGATCATTGATTTTCTTTAATCTCCAACTGTCAAGTCTAGCGCTAGTATTAGGACGTATTCATAACTGTGCATGGCATGAGTTAACTTACTGTACGTGCGTATGTACAAAATATTTATCGCTTGGTAACCTGCATTTCATCATCACATGAGCTAGTACTACAAAATATTACCATAAAAATAATTTTGCACGTTTCATCTTCAATAGGTTCTCTTGAACCTTTTGTTATTCAAGAAAAAAAAGATGGCCACAGAAACAAAATATCCATTACATCCGCACATATCGTTACCCATGACTATGATGAGACCACACTATGAAGTGGTTGTTATCGGATCAGGTTATGGCGGTAGTATTGCTGCTTCGCGTATGGCGAGAGCTGGAAAACGTGTTGCTCTTTTAGAAAGAGGTTTGTTCTTATATATGGAGATATGTTCATGGTTAATTATCGATTAAACATTGTAAATTGTGTAGGAGAGGAAAGATGGCCGGGAGAATATCCATCAAAACTTCATGATTGTTTAAAAGAACTTCAATATGATTCTGTTAAAAAGCATGCTGGTAAAAAAACTGGAATGTATCATTTTTATGAAGGAAATAATCAAGATGCTGTTGTGGCTTGCGGGTATGTTACTTGTGAATAAAGCTGTTAATGGAATATATTCCAGAGTAATTTGGGAGTATAAACTATATCACTCCAGATTTGAGAGTAATTTATACTCTAGAGCTACTACCAATACTACTCCAGATTAATATAAATATATAAATTTTTACAAATAGTTGTATATTAAAGATTAAATTTATTAAGAAGGATATTATAGCGTTAAATAAAGTTGACATAGATATCCAAATCAAACTCTAATTAGCAAAATATATATAAATTTAATCTGGAGTAACATACTCTGAGTAAACAACGATGTTTAATCAGGCGTAGGAACTAGTTACTCTGGTAGAAATATGTTCCACACCACTCTGGGTCACTCCATTAACAGGGGATCCTATCATTCGCTAAATTTATATTGGTTAAATTAGACTTGGAGGCACCTCTCTTATAAATGCTAATGTTGCTCTTGAAGCTGATGAACGTATTTGGCAAATGCCTGTTTGGCCTGATGAAATTAAAAATGATATGGAAGGTATAAAAATGGGTAAGTTGATTTTAAATATCTAATTGATAATTAACTATCGATATACTCTAAGTGTTTTGGGTTATAAATAACGTTTAGGTTATGCGCGAGCCAGAGAGATGCTTCAACCAGTTCCATATCCAAAACATTTTCCTGAACTTCCTAAGCTTAAGGTTTTGGAAGAACAAGCGAGAAGGCTGGGACCAGAATATATTGAAAATTTTTATCGACCACCAATTACTGTAACATTTGAAAATCGCGTTAATGCTGCTGGTGTTAGACAGTTAAAATCTACACTTACAGGGAATGATACCACTGGCGTCAATGATGGTAGCAAAAATAGTGTAATTATGAATTATATTCCTGATGCCTGGAACCATGGTTGTGAAGTCTTTTGTGAAATTTGTGTGCAGAGAATCAAGAAAGACAAGGAAACTGGAAAATGGATTATATTTTACAAATGGTTAGATGTAAATATCTTTATTTACTGCTGATACGTTTAGTAATAGTAAAAGATTTGGATAACATACTATATATACTTTTTTAATGATTCTGTATTAGAAAGAACACGAGAAATTTTATAATGATGATAATCACCCATTGTTCTTTGTTATGGCTGATACTGTCTTTATTGCCGCAGGCACTCTTGGTACAAATGAGATTTTACTCAGATCAAGAGTATGCGGTCTTGAAATTAGTCCAAAATTAGGCATGAGATTTAGTGGAAACGGAGATGTAGGCATTTATGCATTTATTCTTGAGTTTAAATTTATGCCAGCGGAATTTAAAAGTAAATGCTTAATTATAGGTTTTGGGATTTGGTTATAACACGGATTTTTTTTGTAATGGTAAGCTAGGTTGTTAACCATCTTATTATAAATATATATATTTTATTTAAAATTTCTTTATGTAGGAATTGCCATGGGTGAACAAAATCCACTAGGGTTTAAAAATGGCCCCGTTGGTCCTTGCATCACAGGAATCATTGACATGCGTAGATCCGCTGAAAGTGTTTTGGAAGGTTTTGTTATTCAAGAAGGTGTATGTCCCATAGCTACCGTTCGTTTTTTAAGTGCGGTTTGTCAAGCTACAGGCATTCTTTCGACAGATATATCAACTAGGCTTACGTTTGCTCAAAGGTTTTTAAAAAGTTCAAAAATTTTCACGTCAAAGTTTTCTAAATATAGTGGTGCTTTGGCAAATACTCAGACATATTTGATCATGTCACATGATGATAATTCTGGGAGGTTACAGCTGGACAATGATAGACTTAAAATTGAATATAAAGGTGTTGGTAGTACGAAGATGGTCGAAAAATTAAATAAAACCCTGGAACTTGCGACTGCTAAGATAAATGGTGCTTATGTTCCTTCACCTTTATGGGCGAAAGCTTTTGGAAAAGGGATGATTACTGTTCATCCAATCGGTGGGTGTTGTATGGGCAAGAACGGTAGTAATGGGGTTGTGAATCATAAGGGTCAGGTATGTAAAAACTTCATCATTCATTGTAAGTTTATTCATTTGTTATATGCTAATTTATGGCTAAACAGGTTTATAAAGGAGAGGGTACAGAAGTTTATGAAAGCCTTTATGTGTGTGATGGGGCCATTGGACCAACGGCACTTGGTGTCAATCCGTTATTAACAATTAGTTGTTTGGCCGAGAGAATTGTAAACTTGGCTGCTAAAGATCGAGGTTGGAAAATAAATTACGATCTTGTTAAGCAACCGATTGATTGGAATAACCCTGTCAAAAAATGGCCTTCTTTTAATGTTAAGGCAGAAGCATCATTAAAAGAACATACTCAAAGTAGAGTTACTTTTAATGAGTTTATGAAAGGATATTTTTCTACCGAAGTTCTTTCAACCGATTATAGAGCAGCTGAAAGTAAGTTCTAATCTTAGCATTTAAATCAATGGTTTGTTTCGAATTGTTTAGGGGTATATGTTATTGAATATGGTATTTTAGTGCAGGCCAAATCATCTGCTTCTACGATGCAATTCACGATATCAGTAGCCGCATATAATGAACAATCATTATTTGATTTGGATGAATTTTCGGCAGGAATAGTCGGTACAATTTCTTGTCGAGCTTTATCACCTGATCCTCTTATAATAACCAAAGGAAAATTTCGACTTTTTGTTAAAGAACAAGAACAAGTTGATTCACGTGCGATAATGTATAATTTGAACCTGTTAGCCACAAATGGAAAAATATATCGATTTAAAGGGTTTAAGACAGTACTAGATACGAATGTACTTACAGCATGGGAACAAGTGACAACATTGTATGTTACTGTATTTGAGTGTATAGAAGAGAACGAAAATGATTTTGACAATTTGATCATTCAAAATGAGGATGATGATATCGATATAAATCCTGAGAATCGAAAAGTTGTCGGAAGAGGAATTTTATATGTAGAGTTATCAAATTTTATTAAACAGCTTACTACTATGAAGGTAATAAATAAATTTATTAAAATGAAGTTTCTATGCAAATTTTCTAATATTTAATTGTGTATTATATAGGCAATTGGGGGTACTCTGGGTCACGAAACAAATGTACTTTTCCGTTTCCTAAAGTACTTTTCAACTATAATGATAAACCATGCGTTTGCAAGGTTTCGACCTTTATCATATCCTGGCCGTTTCCCAATTGCTCGACCATTTTACTATAAACATAGACCTCAAAAAGAAACATGGACTATAGTATCTGATGATAATGTTGAAACTTTGATTCATAGATTCAATGGCGGATCCAAAGGACCTGTACTCTTGGTAAGAATTATCATTTAAAGTCATTAATATTTTTACTACATATTCAAATAATATATATATGTTGTTAAAATTTGTATTACTAAACAGATTCATGGTGTTGCAATGTCGCATGAAATGTGGACAACAAATTTGGTCAAAAATAATATCGTGGATTTTCTATTAGAAAATGAATATGATGTATGGCTAAACGATTATCGATTGTCTCCAACAAATTCTGAATGCTATAAACAGCAGACTTTGGATGCGGTAAAACTAGATCAAAAGGCCGCTGTTAATCATGTGCGTAAAATCACAGGGTGCGATAAGATTGCTGTTCTCGCACACTGCATAGGATGTGTCACTACATTGATGGGTATCTTGGATGGATCGATCGAGGGAGTTGGGTCTTTAATTACGAGTCAAGTGGTGAATATTAAAACTTGTGTGCTTAATGTTTTCTATCTATATAGTGTATTATTTATATTCTGTCAATCTTATAATTTGCATTCTAGTCCTTATTTCCGATAAACGGATTTGCGGACAAAATCAAACGATGTCTTAAACTCGTTCCATTATGGCGTTATTTATTTAAGCAAGACATTTTTGACGTTCGTACTTCTCCTAATACTGATTTACTGAACATTATCGTTAATCAACTTTTACGATTATACCCGGTTCCACGTGGCCAAGGATGTAACAGTGCACTATGTCATCGAGCATCATTATGCTATGGCACACTATTTCAGCATGAGAATTTAAATCAAGAAATTCATGATCATATGGATGAATTTACTGGAGCCGTTAACTTAACGACAATGTCACACCTGATGACTATTTCGAAGGCCAATAAGATTGTTGATTTTAATGGAAATGATGTTTACGCTACTGATGAAAATATAAAGAAGAGATTGGATTTACCGATTTTACTTGTTCATGGAGACAAGAATGTTGTGTAAGTACCGTAAAAGTTTGACTCGTGTAACCCATAGGATGTATTATCCGACAATTTTGAAGGTCAGGTTTTATTTATACCTGGGCGCCTAAAAGTCATGACACATGCTATATGTACCATACTAGACAAATATAATAAAATATATTTGTTCTATACACGAGTACCTAGTTATTAATGAGTTAGGTAACTGACCTGGGTACACAATTCGGAATTTTACAGTAACTTCTAAGTGATTTTCATTTTTTTTGTATCGATATATAACTCTTAACATTTAAACATTATTTTAGTTTTGACATAAAGGCAACACGAAAGTCTTACGACACCCTAATCAGGACTAATGCAGATCATATGGACTACTATAGTATATTTGAAGTTCCAGGTTATGGTCATTTGGATTGCTTGTGGGGAACCAAAGCTTATAAGGAAATATTTCCGGAAATTTTAAAACACTTAGAGGAAACGCGTAATTTTTATGGTTACGGCATGAATGGAGGGGATTCCATTATTGGAGAACAAATTGGCGGAAGGTTGCAGAAGGTTTCTCTGTCTGGAAATGGATCTGTAATTTTAGGAGAATCCGAAGTATCTTAGAATTTAAATTTCACATATATTATATTTAACATAAACAAATTATACATTCATATTGATATATAAACAAAAAAGGATAACTTCATTCTTTATCAAAAGCAAGTTGATATCATTTTTCATTTGGTTCTAAAATTTCAATTAAAGCACCTTAAGTTTAAAATGTAACTTATGTTGCGGACGGTGCTGAAATTTAGAGATGTTTAATAAAAGTGGTAAAATTTCAGCATCAGCCTGACATTATATACATTAAGAATTATTTCTAAAGCACATATTAGCAACTTCATCTTCCAAAATTTTCAAATCTTGTTCTCTTGACAATCTATGATCGCCATCTGGTATCAGTACAACCTTGACATTTTCTCTTGTATTTTCATCGGGGGTCAACAATCTTGCCCATTTTAAAGTGTCATGATACGAAACGTCATTATCATTTTGCCCATGTATAAATGTAATCGGACATGAAATTTTCCTAAAATCTATAATTTCTTTGTGCAAATAATGCTTTCGTGATTCTTGAAGAAAATGTAATGAAATCGGATAATCTCCAGATTCAGAATATTTTGATGGTCGATTATATATAATCTCTGTAGGCTTATTTTTTGACAAGTCTGTCAATAATCCAAGATCTTCAACTTCCTTCCAAATTTTTTCAGTGAAATTAATCGAAGGTGCCACACCAATAATTCCATTTACTCTATTTCTTAACTCTTCTTTCTTCAATAATACTATTAAAGCTAACCAAGCACCCATACTAGAACCAATTAAAATTTGAGGACCACAAGTTTCTTGCTTCATGAGTAAACACAAATCATTAAACCATCTTCCTATAGTAACATTACCATCAGGATCATTTAAAAATGAGCCAGAAGATAGTCCATGAGCGTAATGATCAAATGTTAAAAAATCTATTCCAAAATCTTGACAAAATTTTGTTAGATGTTTAATTTTACGAGAATTTTGCATTTCTGAATGAAATCCATTAATAAACATTACTCCAGGTAACCGTTGTTTAACATTAATTTTTTTGTTTATGAATTTTTGAAAAGCTACATAATCATTTTGTGATGTCATTATTCGACGGATAGTTGCCATGTTTCGATTTATACGATGTTATATGTAGAGGAAAATTCGAATCAATCAGGGAAGCTGCTTTTTTTTGTTTCACAGAACCACCGAATTTTTTCTCAAAACAGATAACGATAACCACAAGTTAGAGTACTGTATATATATATATACATTATCATGTAAAAATAACCATATATATAATCTTATTGATATTATTAAATAAATAAGTTTATTATTTATATAGTATTAGTGTTCTTTTATAAAATATATCAAAATATTAAATTTTTATAAACTTTATTCCTGCCTAAATAATATTCGGATTTGCAGAAAACAAAGTTCGAGATCCATTCATTACACATCTTAACTGTCATCTCTGTTATATCGGCTATAGTTTCGATATCGTACTTATCTAACTTTCGTTTAAATGAAATCGCTATCAGAACTACGTATTCGAATAATTTCAATATCTATCATGTGAGACTCGATTTATTCGAATAAAATTTATTCGTTGAATAGATATACAGTATTTTAACTTGAAAAATCCGAATATAATTTGAATAGAAATTTATAAGCTCTATTCGCTGTTGCATCTATTCATTTTTAATAGGTGAGGAGCATCTATTTTGTAATTTTGCAACTATCTCGTGAGAAATTTACACTGAACTGTACCGCGTACTACTGTATCAAGAAACTTTTACTTTCATAACAAACATACCCATCTTATCCTCTACCCAGGGTTGGCAAATTGGCTATCCATTGAGAAAGGAGTTCAAATGGAACTCAATGGATAAGTATCCATTGGGCTTCATTGGCTCCATTGTCAACTCTGTCTCTGCCTCTTTTCAATTACATAAAAGTATTTACAGATACAGTAATTATTAATTCTTCAAAAATAAAATACAGTATATACATAATGTATGTAAACAGTAAACAGAATTGACAACATATGAGAGATAAACTATTTTAACAATTAAAAACTTCTTCATACGAGGAGACGATGCAGTCATCACCGCAGGAGGGAACGAAGCCATCCTTTAGCTGTATGATCTCAATTCTCAATAGGAACTGTACAAGGGAGCGACGCCGTCATCACTGCAGGCCGTGCAGAACTATCTTGACAAATAAAAAGGAGCAGTATATATCTTTTACTTAAACGCAGTGTATAAGTCCTCTCTTGATTGCCAATATGCTTTGTCAGTAGAAATCTTTCTGAACCCCTGATCTACGTTTCAGCAAAGATAGTATCTGATACAGGGCTAAAACGACATAGTAAATGCCGGCCATCCAAAGTGTTGTTCTTGATGCATAGTTATTGCGATCAAGTAAAATAAGAAAATTCTATTGGCTATTTAATACGATTGTTTTTAAACGACATTTTGGATAGCCGCATTTACTATATGTAGTTTTAGCCCTGATCTGATACTAACAAGCTAAATTTAGCTATTGAGTTGATAGGTTAATTTATCTGTTATGTAGATTTAACGTTAACGTGAGATCCAATACGCGTTTTTAGGTTACTACAGTACTAAGGATATCATTACTCGAGATGATCTAAAAAAAAAGATAATTGTTATTACCGTAAATATGGTTTATAAATCATTTGATATTGAACACCCTATATTTTACGTCATTAATCCGGAAGTATCTATCTGCTATAACACTGCTCACCTACGCGTTATTGCGAATACGTCTGTATTATTACCATGGCGAAAAAAGGTTCTGATTGGACGAAATTGACGATCCTTAAAAACAATATTTTATATTTTTTTCAAACTTTGAGCGAAGATATCTCAGTAACTACATATCTGAACCTTTGAAAAAATTTTATTTTGATTCTATGAATCTATTGAATTAAAATAAAAAAATTTCATCGATTTTTAATAGGTAGTTACTGAGATATCTTCGCTCAAAGTTTGGAAAGAACGGCCAAATCTTTGTTTTGATAATCCTTTCGTCTATTTTTTTTGAAGGATATCTCAATAACTACCTATCTAAAATCGATGGATTTTTTTTTTTATATTGATTCTATGAATCCATAAAATTAAGATAAAAAAATTTTCATTGATTTTGGATGGGTAGCTATCGAGATATCATCACTCAAATTTGTAAAAGAACTTAGCCACGGTCTTTGTTTTGATAATCGTCTTTGAACTTTAAACAAGAATACCTATAAAATCGATGAAATTTTTTTTATTTTGATTCTATTTATTCATAGAATTAAAATAAAAAAAATTCATTGTTTTTGGATAGGTAGTTATCAAGATATCATCGCTCAAATTTGTACCTATCTAAAATCGATGAAATTTTTTTATTTTGATTCTATGGATCAATAGGATTGAAATAAAAAAAAAACTTTTATTGATTTGGGATAGGTAGCTATTGAAATATCATCACTCAAATTTGTAAAGAACTTAGCCGCAGTCTTTGTTTTGATAATCGTCTAAAATTTTTTTGAACTTTAAACAAGGATATCTCGATAACTACTATCCAAAATCGATGAGGTTTTTTTTATTTTTGATTCTATGATCCATAGAATTAAAATAAAAAATTTTTATCGATTTTGAATAGGTAGTTATCGAGATAAACTTCGAATAAATTTAGACGATTATCAAAGACTGCGGCTAAGTTTACAAATTTGAGCGATGATATCTCGATAATTACCTATCCAAAATCAATATTGATCCATAGAATCAAATAAAAAAAAATTCCATCGATTTTAGATAGGTAGTTATCGAGATATCCTTGTTTAAGTTCAAAAAAAATTTAAACAAAAGGATTATCAAAACAAAGATATGGTTGTTCTTTCCAAACTTGAGCGAATATATCTCAGTAACTACCTATTAAAAATTTTCATCAATTTAGATAGGTAGTTACTGAGATATATTCGCTCAAAGTTTGAAAAAAATATATAATACTGTAATTGTTTCGTCCAATCAGAACGTGAAAGTTCGAGTAGAATCTCACATGTCCGACACTTTTTTTCGCCATGGCTAGGGTACTAGTGTTTTATTTGATTTTCTGAATCCAATTTGTCACACGAATAAATGTTATATTAGGTGCGCGTTAATTCGAGACGCCCATGGATGCTAATTTAAGAGCACGTATGCTATTTTTGAAAGAACTCGAATTTTAAAATAACACCTACAAGCATTATTTTTACGTCGGTGTATATACATACCGTATTGGCGCGTAATAACGCACATGGGCGTTATTTCGAAACTCCTACTTTTTTGAAAATTGTTTTTTTGACTCAAAATAGCGCCCATGCGCGTCCGCCCCCTTAAATGTACCATATTACATATTTTGATCAAAATTTTCAGGCTAAGTTCATTAATAAAATAGGACTTCCTCTTATAACCCAAATTTGTCAAAATGAATCGAATTACCGCGCATGCGCGTCCCAAAAATAACGCGCAGATGCGCGTTATTACGCGCTAATACGGTATATAAATCTTTTGATTCAATTTATCATGAAAAAACTTTGGTTTTACGATTATAATTAGGTTTATTAGAAGATAAGAAACCATGAACATAAAATGAGTGTTGCCCATATTATTATTAATAGATATATGAACTCTAATAATTAGGCCTGGCTACCTTAAATTTCAATTTAACCCACCCAAACCCTAGCATTTCTAAACATTCTTAACCAAGGTCCAAATTCACCCCATTTTTTACCTTCTTCAACAGGATACCACGAGTACGATTCCTTAAGAATTACGCGTTCAGGGTGTGGCATCATAGCCAGCACTCTTCCATTTGGTGTTTGAATACCTGTTATACCGAATGGACTTCCATTTGGATTATATGGATACTTTTCAGTTGGATTTCCGTAATTATCTACAAACCTCGCCACGACAAGATCTTGGGCTATTAGTTTTTTTAATTGTTCTTCACTAGAAAATTCTGCTCTGCCTTCACTATGTGCAACAGCAATAGGAAATATTGATGAATGCATTCCATTGAGAAATATTGAAGGCTTTGTGTATGCGATAGTTGGAGAAGTTATTTCAACTAAACTAAATCGAGCTTCAAATTGTTCACTTTTATTTTTTTTGAATAAAGGCCAATTTTCCGTACCGGGGATTAACTCTTTTAATTGACT